CCAGATTGGCTGTGTCATCTGAAGCAGACAACTCCCTGAGCTTCAGTGTCCCCTTCTGTGAAGCCAGAGCTCACGCGCGCGCGTGCGTGTGTGTGTGTGTGTGTGTGTGTGTGTGTGTGTGTATAGGGGAGGGGTTGGGCTAGATGATCTTCTGAGGTCCCTTTTTGGACAGACGGTCTGTGGTTCTCTGTGTGCTGATGTAAAAGCCAGTGACGATAAGCAGTAATAAACTGAATTCAGACAATAATGGACATCATCGAGGCCAAATGCAGAGTATTTCCTCTTGGATTTAAATGCTTACACCCGTGCTACTGAGTACCAACCCCACTCCTGGTCCTCCTTGCCTTGCCTCCATGGAGGCTCCTGCACTGGTTTTTACTACTCTTCTGTGTGGGGGGTGGTTTTTCTCTACCTTTATCACCAAATCAAAACTGCTATTTTTGGACACAGCAAGCTGAGCAGTAAATAATTAATTTGTATAATTAGAGGAGGAAGGCTTCAACCTGGCAATTTTTAACCAGGAGTCAATGCACCCATTGTACCAGCCTGGCCTTCTCACCCGACCCCCAACTCTGCCCACACACCTACCAGCTTCCCCAGTGCCTCCCCCAAGTTGGAGACCGGCCTTCCCAAGATGGCCAGCAGGGTTCCTGGAGCAGACTCTGCTCCCTCCCCAACAAAGTTCCATTCTCTGCCTTGCTCCCCAACAGAAATCAGTCTGCCTGCAGCTGCCCCTCGCAGCTTGCTTTCACTACCCCCTAAAGCTGTGCTGGGCTCCAGGTCCAGGCTCTCTGCTCTTGGGACGCATGTAATCCACCTCCCCAGCTCAAGATGCCCCAACAATGCCACGAGTTTGCATTTCAAGAAACTCCCATTAATATCAATTTACTTCACTGAAACCTCGGGTTCTTCATCAAGTTGATGATTTATGATAAAATCAATTAAATTACGGCCACTTAGGGCCCAGCCGCTTCCTCTCAGATTTCATTGGTGCGGGGCCCAAGTGTCTGGTGGAAAAATGCAAGTTTAGCTGGAGGCGAGGAAAGATAATTCTGCGGCTGAGAAAATTTAATGCAAAACAATTTCCAGGCAAAGCTGGGCGTCTGGACAGAAATGCAAGAGCCACCAGTTGGCCTGCGGAAATAACTATCTGAGGGTCAAAATATTTTTCTCCCACCCCCATCATCCTGCATGGCTCCCTCGCTCCGTTCCCCTTTGTGCTCACTTGCCCCCTCCCAAGCACAGACTTCGGGGGGGGGGGGGGGGGAATCTGAGCAGTGATGGTGGAACTCATGCCTGCCAAGGCCTGGCCTTAAACCATCATCTCCCCTATCATCTCAGGCCTTTTTCTCCTTTGTCCCTCTCCTCCCCACTCAGCCATGCTCACTAATTCTTCAGTCTCCTATGGCAAAGTTAAAGGTTCAAAGTGAAGATCAGGTGGCGTGGGCAGATGGCACAGAGGGGCCAGGGGCCAGGCCAAGTGGGTTCTGCTGCATATGGCTGTGGGACGAAAGAAAGCACAGGTGGGAACAAGCACTATCCATGGTGAGGGCACTGGGCAGCAAAGTCTGTCCAGAGCTACCCCATCCCAGAGTACCAAGACCAGAATACACTGAGCCTCCCTCCTGGCTCCTTGCGTGCCCAGTCACAGAGCAATGTGCACCCGACAAACCCCAACCCCAGCACACATGCGCCCCAATGTGAGATGCACTCACACAATACACAAACACACCTACGTGTGTGCATGCCTGCACACTGTCCTTACACCTCACACACACCCATCACATCCTGTGCCTGCAAAGGACGGTTCCCACCATCTCCCACATCTGGGAAAATAAATCCCAGCGAATCAACCTGGCATCGCCTCCCACTCCAAGAAGAGGGGCTTCTCCCGCCTCTGCTCTGTTTGGTTTTTGGTTTCCAGAGCAGGCACGGAGTAAACACACAGCTTCTCTGAAGCCATAAATCACCCCCTCTCCTACTTCTCAGTTTAACACCCGGCCTCAGCGCAACCTCTTGTAGTTTCAGCTTCAGATAACGTGCTAGGCGCTAAAAGGTTCTGCCATGGTGGCAGCTGGACTGTGGGAGCAGGGCCCAAGCATCCCCCCACCCCAGCGATGCCCCTCACAACCCACAGCTTCCAACTCCCCTGGAAAACCCTCCACAGCCTCCAACACCCTTCCTGAGCGGGAGAGCTTCCTCATCCCCTAACCCGGTTCCTGTCCACACACCCACACAGACAGCCCCACTTTCCTCCACACTGCCCTGCACACCAGGACCCCTCTCCCCCTTCAGCCCCTACCTGCCTCTCTATAAGTTGCCCTCATCTTTGTCTTCCACAATTCGGATCCAGCCTCTTTCCTGACCCGAGAGAGGCCTGGGGACGGAGGTCTCAGCCACCACTACTCTGCACCCGGAGCCAGGCCCTGGGCGTCCCAGCTCAGTTCCCCACACTTACCTGTGCGCTCTCCCGCTAGGGTGCGGGCAGCAGCGGGCGGCCGGGAGTGGGGCGCGCGCGGGAGCCGACAGCCAGGCCCGGGTCCCTCGGCCCCACCAGGGGCGCCGTGGCCGGCGGCATCCCGGTCATTCAGACCCCGCAGCCCCGGAGCGGCCCGCCTAGCGAGGGGAGAGGCCCGGAAGCGCTCGCCCCCGCCCCCGGCCCCGGCTTTGTTCGGCCTTCGGGGCCGCGGGCCGGCGAGCGGCGCGCGGGTGCTGCGCTCGGGGCGCGGCCGGCGCCCCTTTCCGGAGAAGCGGGGGCTTCCCCCTCCGCGAGGGCCCGCTTGGGGCTGCGAGAAGCTGGGCGGGCCTGGCACCGTGGCACCGAGCTGCAGTCGGGGCTTTGAGAGTGAGCCAAGTTGCCAGGCGAGAGGAGCGGCGACTGACAGGGGGCACGGCGAGGCGCGGAGAGCGCCGGGGGCGCCATGGCGGAAGGCGGGCGCACGGGCGGCTCTTCAATGTCACCAGCGAAATGGGTTCCATATGTCCAGCCCGGCAGAGAAGGGAGGGGAAGGGATAGAGTTCTGGGCAGGACAGGACGGGGGAGGGGGGAGGGAGGGTGCGCAATGGAGGGAGCAGTGGGGAGGGGGTAATGGGAGGGAGAGATTGGAGGGCGAGAAAGGTTTGCATTTTCCATTTTCCCATGCTTAGGCTGGTAGGAACTTTCTTTCCCTTTTTTCCTTTTCTTTCCTGAAAGATGGGGAGGAGGAGATTAGTGAGGGTAGCATCCGTTTGTTCAGGCTGGAGGTTCAAGGGAGGAGATGTGGATTGAAGACGAAAGGGAAAGTTCTTAGGCGGCTGGAAATCAACTTTTCCCCTCCCTGAAGAGGGAAGGAGGAGACAAAACTACGAAGGGGAAGAAAGGCCAAGGAAAGATCCTAGGGTCCAGGTGTGAGGGACTGACCCCAAGCACCCCTCCTTCATGGCGGAATTTTGTTTTGGGAGATTCTAACCATTAAGTTACTGGTGGTAGTGGTGGAAGAGGGGATTGAAGCGCCCAAGACATCTCGGCCATTCCCTGACACTTCAGCTCCTACCCCAGCTGCCTCACACCTGATTTAGCACCCTCAAGGGCCTCCTCTAGAGGCAGTTGCTTCTGGGATGGCCTCCCCTTTGGGCAGCTGTCTATAAAGAAAGCACAGTCTGGAGGAGCTTCCAGACCCTGCAGCTCTCTCCCCTCTGTGCAAGCCAACCCCCCCCCCAAGAGGGTTGGGCTCTTTTTCCGCGTTCTGCCCCTATTTCTCTCTCTCTGCCTTTTCTAACCATCCCTGTCGTTTCTGTCTCTTTCTCACAGCCCCTTTGTCTTCTCACACTCTGCCTCTCTCTGTGTCTCAAGTGAATTTGAATTGAGCCTTGCAAAGGACTTAGGAGTGTCTCCAGAAATCACTCCTGGGCTCGATTACTAGGCTGCCCCTCTCCTTGGGGCAACATGGAGCCCTTGGCCTCAGGGCCCTTTCCTCTGCAGGGAAAATCCACCCTTCTGTCTTGGAGACATTCTCTTCTACAGAGAAGGGGGCAAAGTGTGTGGTTTCCTTTCCACTTCCCTTCTTCTCACTTAACTCTGTGTGTATGTGTGTGTACGCAAGCAAGCTGTGGGGCTCCTTCTTCTAGAATCACCTCCCTGCCCCTCTGACTGGCCTTTGTCCCCACTCTCCCTGTCATCCTCTCCTTGGGCTCTGCCTTGACTTCCCACTTCACAAAAGGGACCCTGCTGTTTGCGCTCTCTCTCTGGGGCCCTCTCTCTTTCCTTCATCCTCTCTCTCCCCACCTTTCTATCCAATTCCTCTGGTCATGAAAGCATTGGCAGCCCAGCTTCTTAAAGGCACTGGAATAAAGACTATAATTATATAAAGTGGACACCAGCAGAGTCTGGGGAGAAGACAGAGTTAGCAGCTTTCCTGAAGCCCCTTGCATCAAATGCCTTCTCCCCCATCCCCTGAACAGCACAAAAGCAAAGGGGGTGTGCGTGCAGAACTGGTAAGGGGCAGGGTGCTTCATGGCTAAATGAACCAAATATATATATATTTTTTTAAATAACAAAGTCTTTTCAGACTTCCTGATTTGGGGGGTAGGCCTATATGCCTGGATGGAAGGCATTAGGCCTCACATAGGAAGACTTAGCGAGGGGCCAGCAACTAAAAGATAATGGAGGAGAGGGCCAGTCTCCTTGCTTTTGTCTCCTGGGGAAGAGTCTGTGTGTGAGTTGGGGAAAGGGAAGGGGAGGGGGTATCCCCAGGGCCAGAAGAGACAAAGACCCGAAGGGGGCTGAGAGAATGGAGAGGAAAAGAGGGGGGATCAGACCTCCACGTCATAGGCAAAGGCAGCAGGGGGAGGGGAGAGGGAGAAGCGGGGAGGAGTTGGAAACACAGGGGTAGGGGCCTGCAGGACTGGCTCCCAGCTCTCCCCACGAGCTATGGCCTGTCCCAAAGAGCAAATCCTTCAGCCTCCCCCTTTTGTTCCGCATCCTCCAAAACAGGCTGAATTCGGAAGCTTAGAAACACAACTCTACCCTCTTCCTTCTCCGTGTCTCTCCTCTTCTCCAAATAAGTAATCCTTCCCCCCCCTCTCAGGAATTCAAAGACTCTGGCCTAAACTCTGGAGCACTGGTTTGGAGGTGAACTCACCCTCTCCACATTTACACCCTGTCACTTCCCAGGTGAGGGAGAAGAAACTACTCAACTCCCACACTCAGTGTGTGTGAGGGATTCTCCAACACTCAAGGATGGGGGGGGCCTGAAGGGTTTGGAGACACCTATCCCTCAGGTCTCTTTGCTGCCTCCCCAGCCCTCCCCCCTCCCCATGATCTCCAGCCCCATCACAGCTGCCCCTGAGTCCAGACTCTCCCCAGTCCCTTTTATCCAGGCCAGGCAATGCCCCACCCATCCCAGCCTAGGGTCTTGGCCTTCTCCTTCTCTCTCCCTAAACTCTTCAACCCAGACTCTCAAACTGGGAGGCTTCACCCACCACCACCCGCAAATCTGCCTGTTAACAAGGATGGGGCTCGGCGCCCACTTGGAGCAGAGTGTGGGAGCAAGCTCCTGGATGCTCCAGGACTAGGGCCTGAGCAGCCACTCCACTCCACGAGGCTGATGCCATGAATAATTAACACCTGGGCAAGGCGTCACTCTAATTTTCCTGCTCAAAGGTTTACACTAGCAGGCAGAGTTAAATATCACAGATAACAGTGGCTATAAAGTCAGTTGGCTGGGCTCCAGCCAGAGAAGGAAAAGCCAGCAGCCTGGACCAGTCTTGGCAAAGGCTCTGGCCCTCTGCCCCTCATCCATCAGAACTTTGGGGTGCAGCGCAGAACGTCCCCAGAAGCCACCTCTGGCTTTGCTCTTGACCAGCAGACTTTAGCCTAAAGGGGACGGACAACACTCCCACATGAAACTCGAGGGGAAAGTTACCAACTCTCCCTTCTCAATCTGCACCCTGTTTTCTCCCTCTTTGGGTGGGGACTTAGGAAGGGGAACACACTCCATGTCTTGGAACACTCTCAAACTTTCTGGGACCACCTGATTCCTGGAACATTTCTTTGCTAGAAAAACTTAGAGAACTTCTCCCTGCTTTAGCCCCAAACACACATAGTCCCTCACTGCTGAGGAAACTTGCTTTGTTTCAGGAGGTCGAAGAAAGGCTACTGGGGTGTGAATTCATTTCCTTGTTTTGTTAGCCAGGAGGGTGGGGAGCCAAGGCTTGCAGCTTCTCTCCCTGTCCTTCACCCTCTGCCTCCATTGTCTCCCCCAATTCTGGTAGCTCCTTCTCCACCCTCAACACCCTGCCACACACATCACTCCTATAGATTGAGCTTCAATACTAAAACCGAATCCCTCCAGCCCTCTTCCAATTGCAGACAGCTTCGATTGGGTCTCCATCGATTACAAAAATCTTTGCCTTCAACTCCAGTAATTTCTTCCTCCACCTCCACCTCTCTTGCCCTCAGGCTCCTTCTGCCTTCAGAGTTGGTTCTTTACCCCCGGCTGGAGTCGGAACAGCCAAACTCCTGGGGGTGAACCACTGAAAAATGAAGCTCTGTCTGCTGCCGCAGGAATGTTGGCTCTATCAGGCTCGCAAATATAATTTTTATATTAGATCGTGGTCTTTGACTGGGTTTATATGCCAATGAGGCATTTCTGGTTTACCAAATTTATACAAATCTCGCCTTAATTGATAATCACAGATGCTGTAATTTAAGACCTCCAGCTATAGAGCTTTCATATTAACTGCTGATATATTACTGTAAATCGTCTGAAATAACCAACTCCTGGGAGCAGAGCAGAGAGGGAGGAAGTGCCTCTGAGAGCGACTCTCTCCCGGCCGCAGAAATAGCCCAGCTTCCATATCATTTTCCGTGAGAAATGATTTATCGAAGACATGGCCATAAACAACACAACTTGCTCACAAACACACGCAGACGCGTGCGCCCACACACACACACACACACACACACACACAATGGTTGGCATGCCGGCCGAGAAGCTGACACCCATATTGCTATAAATCAAGAAAAAGGTTGGAGGAGAGGGAGAGAGAGGGAGAGCACGAGAGAGAAGAGGAATATTCCTAAAATCTCTATGCAATGCCTCAATGGGTATAAACACACAGAGCACCGTGTGAAGAGAAATGGCAGGAAATGAAGATGGCTATTTGTCACATTTTACGACAATAACATTAATAACAAACAATAAATTTACATGGACATATAAGACGCAGTAGGTAGTGAGAAATCCCTTCTACTTACAATACCCCAGCCCGCGGTGTGGCTCCGGCTTCGGGGCTGTTTTATTGCTGTCTCCCTCTCTTTTTCTCTCTCTCCCTCTCTCTCCCCCTCTCTTTTTTTTTTTCTCGGGGTACAGGCTTGTTTTTCAAAGGACAGTTGAATTGCACGTCAGAAACGGGGAGACCGAGCCTGCGATTTTCCTGACGAATACATATCTATTCTGCAACCTCGGCATTAATTATTTAATGAATCACGTGACCGGGAGGGGGAAGGGGGTCTTTCAATTTCAGGCTCAAAGGACCACTATGACCTTCCCCTTCAGGAGGAGAAATTTTCCTGCAAAATAGGTTCCCCCCAACCCACCAATGGAATAGTAGTGAGCTCTTCTCTCTCCTACATTCACATCTATACCTACTATATCTACAGCTACTAACACCACCCCAGACACACACTTACCCACAGCCCACCTCTCCTCTCTCCTTTCTCCTCCTGCTTCTGCTTAGTTCATGGAGGTGCAGAAATAGTCTGCAGGGGCGTCTGAGGGGTGGGGGTGGGGTGGGCGAGGAGCCCTTCAAGCCCCTGGATTTCTCAGCTGCCAGTTCTTCTCTCAGCATCCTTTAAGATTAAGATTCCCCCCAACTCCATTCTCTCCCTCACTCCTAGGATATTTTGGTGGGACCCACTCCTCCTTTCCCAAATAATCGACACAATTTCTAAAAGGACCAGCTTGGAAAGAAATACTTCATAAGTCCATGTTATATGTGTGTAAAGAATGGGGTTTCTGGCTTTAATTCTCCTTTTGATCTTTTGTGGTACTTTTGAAGGGGCAAAAAAGAGACAGGGTGAAGAGATGACTCTGGAGCTCCCAGAGTTGAGAATAACCGCAAGGGGGACTGTTTCTCGTTGTGCTGTTACTGTTCTAGGGGGCCAAATTCTACTGACCGACTGAGAATACACTCTGGAGACAAAGACCCCGACTAAGGTTTCCACACAAAAGGAGTGGACACTCAGTGTCTCTACCTATGTCACACCCTGTCTCAGTCTCCTCCACCCCCAACACCCCAGTGAAGACAGCTGGAAATCTGCACTGGAGGGACAGAGAGGGAGAGGGAAGAAAGGGGCTTTGAAGTGGCCTGGCAGCCCCGGGGCCCTATTTCCCAGGTGTTAGTACCCTGAGCTTCCAATTGGCAGGCAATGGAGACTGATCAATGGGAAAAACATGGCGGGGGGGGGGGGCTGTACATGAAAGGGTTAAACACGGGGCTGATAGGAGAAATCCATTCCCCGGGCCTAGAGAGAGAAACGTACACAGACTCCTTCTTCTCAGATATAAACAAAACAAAACAAAACATCCCCAAACCTTCATGAACAGCTTGGCTCCAGAATGAGCAGATCAGTTACAACCAGAAGTGGAGTCCTTGGCCACGGTGTGTGTGGGGAGTTGCAAAGGGGAGCAGAAAAGACATTCCTGAAGAAGTCCCTCACGCACATTCCCAGCCTTATCTTCAGCAGCAATCCGGCAGGCAGCCTGGCCACACCACGAGGGCAGGCGGGACCCGGGAAGAACAAATGGGGTTTAGGGGAGCATGGGGCTTCGGGGCCGCCCTTGGTTTGCTTGGAGGGGTCGGAACCAGAAGCAACTCAATGGGGAGAAGGTTGAGGACCTAGTTGCCTTAACAACCCTGGAAGAAGCAGCCACCCCTCTGGTATCCGCCCCAGGACGGTTCAGCTGTGGTGGCAGCACGGCCCCTGCCCAAGGCACTGGGCTCGCCTGGCCTCCTCGGAATCCCGCTCCCGGCATACGGGCGGAGCGCAGGCGGGCCCAGACTCTGTAGGGGGGTGGTCCGCTTTGATTGTCCAGTTACAAAACACAGACTGGTATTGAATTCAGCCTGCTCCAGTGAGGGCAGCTCCCTGCAAGGTCCTGGCCACAAATCCATTAAAAAAGTCCCCCAAAGAAAAACACTCCACTGAAGTCTAAAAGAAAAATATGAGCCAAAGAGAGAGGACATAATCTGCTGCAGCATGGGAAGACAGCAATCTCTGAAACCGAGAAATTATTTTTAAGGATAAGAAAATGAACTGCAAAATGACACGAAGGCACTCCGGGCAGGTTCTGTTAAAATGCCCACACTCTCTCTGGATCCTGGGAATGTCCATGTTCAAATAAACAAGTGCCCGAGCGCGAGCTGAGCGCTTTCTTGCTGCCGATAAAGCGAACGTTTATACTGTGAGAAAGGCGAGATTGATTTACGAATCTAAACGCGCTGGTTTTATGGCTGATCACAAATCCGTCAGCGCTCAACTCACGCTGGGAAACTTCCCAACTCCGTTTTCCAACCAGACCCCCCTCCCAGCTGCCGCTTCCCAGGGAGACCCGCCACAGGCGGGCAGACGGGCGCTGGGGCTGCCTCTCGGCTCCGGCAGGACAGGGCAGCCCTGGGCTGCCCAGGCAAGTGGAAGTAGGAGGGAGAGTGGGGAGGTCTGCTGAGGAACCTGGAGGGGAAAGAGGTCAAAAGATTAGGAGGACTTGGGGTGGCCGCTGGAATTGTAGGAGGTGAACCCAACGTGCTGACGAGCTGATGAGCCTTCGGGCAGCGCTCGGCTTTGCAAAGGTTGGAGTCTGGGAGTGAGAGAAAGGGGGGATCTCGCAATTCCCACCTAGGGGGCTGAACCCCTTGAATGAACCCCAACATTCCCTTTCCATTGTTTCTCTCCTCTTTCCTTTTTCTGGCCCCCTAATCTTCACGTTGCAGGCAGCAGCCTGTGAAGTCTCACATAACTAAATCTTTGTCACCTGGGCCTATAGAGGGCCCACAACTGGTTATCTGCCCTTATAAATAATAGGTGCACATCTCCTCTGAGCCCCAAATATTTTCAGTGCAGGAGAAGCCCAGCTCACCTTTCTCCTCACTCCCTTCCCTTCCTGAGGCCTGCGGCCGCCGCTGCCCCTCACCCCCACCCCCCACCCCCCGCATTGATATGCCACCCAGGGACAAAGGAGAGGATACCAACAAATGCCAGTTATTTCTTGTCTCAGACAGAGTCCCCAAGTTACGGGAGACAATTTACAAATTGCAAACCAATACCCCACACACATCCCAGCAAGGTTCTGTCTCTCCTAGTCTTAACCAGAAGGAAGCATTTCCTCTTCCCAGCTGGAGTCTGTCTGTCTGTCTGTCTCTGTCTCTTTGTCTCTATCTCCTCTTAAGAGGATGGCTGCTGGTGTGGACTTTTAAGATACAGCCAGTAGAGTACAGATTTGGAAAGGCTCTATGTTCGGAGTTCACTTCTTAGCAAAACCTCCACCCATCTCTTAAATTAAAAGTTGCTGGAAACTTCGGTTAATGTGGCAGACTGTCCCCCAGAAATGATCAAAACAGCCTGCACTGCCCCCTCTCACCTTTCTCTTGCTCCTCTGGCGGGGCAGTACTCCCTTGGCTCTGTGAGAAGCTGGGGTGGGATTGGGGATTATAGGAAGGGGGCAAGAGTGATTATAGGACTAGCTTCCCAAACAAAGGAACTTCAGAAAAATGGGCTGAGAGGCTGTGGATTCGGGTATCAGACCTTGAGAGATAGTAGCCTCCAAGGGACTGTTCTTAGGGGGGGCCCTCTCTCTCCTTAGGACCCAGGGGCTTGTTCCCCTACCCTTCTGAAGCCCTGTGGACCTCTCATACTGCCTCCCTTTGTCTTTCTTCCCTCAGCCCCCTCCAAGAGAAACAGGAAAGAAGGAGGGATGAACTGGACACGGGGCGGGTGGTTGGAGCCTGGCAGAGGGAGAGAAGGAGCTCTGCACAGAGACAGACCAGCACCCTACTTCCCTTCCCCAGCTGTACCCCTCGGCTAAAATTTTTGCTCCTTTTCTCCTCAATGGACAGTAATAGAAAAACAACTCAGAAATTCCAGCTAGCAAAGAAGGGGTTGGGGGCTAGAGGGGGCTGGAGAAGATGGGACACACAACAGCCCAAGGACCCCTCCCTGTGGAGGTGTGACTTTCCGTCCTGGGCAGGAGGCAAAAGCCAGCACAATGTCCAGTCTCAGAGAGGTCAAGGGGCTTCCGAGGTCATTTTGTGGTTCTAATACTGAGCTAATCGCCTAGAAAACGTGGCCTCTCCATGAACTCTCTCTCCTGCCAGCCTCCTGCCTCCAAACCCTCAGTGAGCCCTGGGGGAAAAAGGGCCAGCACATTCAGGTCTGAGGCAGAGCCCCCTCGCTCCCTCACCCTCAGAAGCAGGGCCCCAGAGAGGGGAACAGCTCCCAAACCAAGAGAGCAAAACCAAACTGAGCCTCCAGGAAGAAGGGAGGGGGAAAGAGTCAAGGAGGAAGATTCCGGTCAACGAACCTTGCCTGTGAACAGAGCAGTTTCCTGCTCCAGAGAGTTGCAAATATTTGTATAGAATCCCAAGCTAGATACAAAAAGAAAAAACAAAACGAAGACATCCACCTATACCCTGCTCCAAGGCTGGGGCATTCCATCCAAGAACTGCATTCCATTTTTCCAGGAGGCGGCAGTGACAACATCTCACCGGTAAACAGACATATGAGACACAGCCCCCAGTGCAGACAAGCAGAGTCACGGAACATACCGGCCACATGTGCACATTGCTATATACACTCACATACACATGCTGGGCTTCTCAGGCCTGCCTGCATTTTCCAAAACCAGAAAAGCACTTTTGAGCTGCCTCACGAACAACCTTCTCTGGGATTTTTCAGGGGCCCTGACACCTCCATCCCAACCAGTTCAAACACTATCCAGGTGTCAGGCCCCTCTCTCTCCCTCTGACCCAAGCATCAGTCATCATAAAAGGCAGCAAACCTGACCAAGCATCCACCATAAAAACCTCCGTGAAGATAGTTGAAAAAGAAAAAGGAGGAGTTTCTTCTTTCCCTTGTAAAAAGAGCTCATAAAACGATTAAAAAAAAAAAAATGCCAGCCCAGGCAGGGGCTTTGTTACCTTTGCGCCTCTCCCCTCCTCTTGCCCGAACTCCACGGGTCCCATTCATGACGAAGGGCTTCTTCCAAACTGAGAGAAAAAAGTTTTCAACTTTATGGTTCCAAATTTTTTCCCCCTCGAAGATCCGGGAGAGACGGCTAACACTTTTTTCCCCCAACAGCCGGTCTGCGGAGATTTGCTGTTGAATAATAACAAAGGAGAGAGGATACGTATTTAAAGAAAAGAAGTGATTAATGGTTTTCTGTATAATTCTCACATTTTTCTTAGCTCTTGTCTACACAGAATGGCTGTGAACTTTAAGGTCCATAGAAATCTTTTTTATTCTATTCATACCTTCCAAGGAGCAGCTTTGATTTGGTTCTATAGAGGCATTCCTTGGGGGGCATATGCTTTTTAAGAACATTTTCCCCCCTCTCCTAAGAGCGGCCGCATCCCCTGGCAGCTAAACATCACACCGCGATTCCACCGAAACAAAGCTGCCGCTCCATCCTCCAGGTCCGGGGCGATTTTTTATGAGTCTCCCGGCAGCATTTAAACGGGCGGTTCAGCTGCCCTTTCCCGAGCCGTGGACACCGGGCCCCGTCTGTCCCTGGGCCCTACCCAGCCTCAAACTCCCAGGCGCTGCAAACCAGAGGAACACAAAAGAAATAACAATAAAATGTGCAGAGGGAATTGGCTATTTTTATTCTCTGAAGGGAGATGGGACCGAAAAACGACTTTTAATCACATATGCTCTCCAGAGCTCCCAGCTTTTTGGAGGCGGGGTGGCTGTACCCTGGACCACCACAGGGCCAGAGCCCCCGCGGCTGGAGCCCCCAGACCTTAGAACTTCTCTTGGGCACTGCACACAAGCGGCCCAAGCCTGACAGAGCTTCTGAGGGTCACCCGCACTCCCTTCCCTTCCCCCATTCCATTCTAGGGGTGACTGGGACCTCAGAGACAGAAAGCTATTTGGTCCCCAGTCGTATTTTCGATACTTTCTATGAGAAAGAAAATGAAAATTAATACAGGAGCAGGGCTTCACAAAAGAGGCCATTTGTCTTCTTGATTATCTGTTTGCTTGTCAGAGTTTGAGCTATAGCATCAGCTAGCTCCTTTGTAATATAAAAATACTCTGAAAACCTGCAAACACCCAGAAACATCTGTGCAAAAAATTAGACTCATTAAAGCCTTAAACACCTCAGAGGAAACGGTACCTTCTTCCGCGGGAGGAAAGAGGCCGGCCTCGCGGAATTCTCTCTCTCGAACTTTAATAAGCAAAGAGCCGTCTGTCTAGAAGGAGACAGCTTAACCGCATTTTATTTGCTTATGACAAATAAATCACAATATGAAAGGCTTTGCCATACTTAAGCCTCTTGTGTCCTACAATGAAACATTTTCTCCCCATTAGGGATTGGAGTCAGCCCTCTCAATCCATTTTTGGACTGGAAGGAAAAAATTAAAAGCCCCAAACAAAACACACCCACCCCAAAAGGAAAACAAACCAGCTACCACAATTTGGAGTCCTCTGAGACAGAAATTCCCATCAGACCCTTTGAAAAAAATCCTCAACCACATACAATGTGAGGCTGAATGGACTGGGGTGCTTAAGATATACGCTGGGTGGCATTCTTCTGTATCTTTACAGCAAGGTTTCAACAAAAACACGCCGTGCTGGTCACAAGAAACCAAACATTTATTTCTATAGTCACTCTGTACAGGACACAAATTTTCACGCCAACAAAGGGTTCTAGACTCAGGCAGCCCCACTACTAGGAAGGAGCCTGGTTTGGAATGTCAGAAAGAGAACAGGAGAGAGGACGCACATGACATAAAATAATAATAATAATTAATAATAATAATAATCAATGCAACAATGATTAACTATGGGAGAGGTCTCTGTAACATCATTTCCCAGACCAGGAGGGGCGTGACCTTTTATTTCTTAATTTCACATTCATTTTCAGTCTAGGAAAGAAGGCCCCCGCTGTACAACTCTAGATGGGCCAGAGGACTGTGCCCAGCTATCAGAACTCAACTGGCCCCTAACCCTGCCAGGATGGCTTCACCTTGCAGAGGAAGGCCCTCCTGGGTCTCCGGGCCTCTCTTTCTTTCTTGGATTCAATTTCCCTGCCCTCTCCTGCGTTGCCAAGGCTGCCCCCACCTCCCCGTACCCCCTTCCTGCTGACCCCCCACCCCGGCCCCGCGATGGAAGAGGGTGAGCAGTCAGTGTTCCCAAGAAGGGGCAAGGAGGAGGAGGAGGAGGTTGTGTGTGTGTTACCGTGGCCAAAACACTGCGCTATCTGGCAGTCAGAGGGTGGTTTCGCTGGGTGTCAGGAATGGGGGACAAAGAAAGAAAATCCAGGCTGTCTTCCCGCAGCGGCAGTAGCAGAGGCAGCGGCGGCCGAGCCGGGCCTCATTTGTTAGCCGGGTGTCGAGGTAATGGTCGCCACCGAGGCCCGTCCTCTCCTCGGCAGAGTAAACAAGACAGATGGGCCTGGGCCTGGCGTGATTAAAGATGAAACGTGGATCCATCTTCGCCAAAGCTGAAAATGAGGAGTGCAGCCTCCTCCTATTTCTCTTTCTGTCTTTTTCTTTCTTCCTCCTTCTTCTTTTTTTTTTTTTTTTAAGGAAGAAAGCAAGAGACTTGAACCTTGCTTCTGGGGGGCCACGCCAGGTTCCCTATTGTCATTTTTATAAATAAAGCTTCCCCTCCCCCTCCTCTGCGTTTATTCTTGTAAATAGATAAAGTGGGGGGGAGGGTAGGTAGGCTTTTCCGGGCCCAGGCCCCAGGGTCCCCTCCCGCATCTGCCCCCCAAACCCCCAGCACTTGCAACCCACCCCCGCCCCGAGGTTCGCGGTTCCGGCGCGGGGGGCACTAGAGCGCCGGGGTGCCTCCGCTGGGCCGGCTGGGGGGCCCTCCGGCTGCGCCTGCGGTGCCACCCGAGCGGATCTTGGTGTTGGGCAACTTGTGGTCTTTTTTCCATTTCATGCGCCGGTTCTGGAACCAAATCTTGATCTGGCGCTCAGAGAGGCAGAGCGCGTGGGCGATCTCCACCCTCCGGCGCCGCGTCAGGTAGCGGTTGTAGTGAAATTCCTTCTCCAGCTCCAAGACCTGCTGGCGAGTGTAGGCGGTCCGAGAGCGCTTGGGCTCCCCGCCGGTGTAATTGGGGTTTACTGGACACACACAGAGAGAAGGAGAAAGAGAAAGTTTTATTGCCCCGAAAGGGAGGAGGGAGAGCTCTTTCTTCCAGCTAGCACAGTGTCTCCCTCCCTCCCACTCCCGCCACCTCTTCTTCTTCCAGAGGGGGGTGGGGACGAAAGGGGAAGAAAACGGGACCCCAGGAAGAGAAAGAGACCTCAAAGTTTTGGGGGGTCGTGTTGTCTCAATGTTGTTGTTTGGATGTCTGGAGGGGAGTTAGGGGGGAATGAGAAATCTTCACAAGGTTTTCATCACTCCTCTCTCCCCCCTTGGCCTGGGGCCCTGGATGGGAGAATGAGGGGTGAAAGAGGGAGGGGGGCTTCCCTAAACCTTTCTTACGTTAGTTCCCACCCTCGCTGCTCAGATTCCAAAGCTGTGCCTGCCCCCAGCAAAAACTTTTGCCTACTTCTCGAGCCAAAGAGCCAGACTAGAGGAAAGAAAGGGAAAAATAAATACTGGGAGTTGACTCAACTCTCCGCTTAAATACAGATTACCTCCTCCTCCTTCTCCTCCCCCACTTCCCACACCCCTCCCCAACTTCCAACTTCACTGAGACTGCATCTCCCTGACGAAAAAGTCGCTGGTGAGAATGGCAAAGAGGATGGGGAACCGACTTCAAAGGCGCGGGGCCCACCGGGCCATAAAAATTTATGGGGGATGTAATTATGTGGCTCTGAAAACAGGCGACCGTAAATCTCCGGCAATGGCGAGTTTATAGCGGGGACAATTGGCTTCCCCCAGCTTACCCCCCGCCCCATGCCTCCTGGTCCCTTCGGTGTAAAGCGCCGAGGGCGGGAGGGGGAAGGGGTGCCCACGCACTCACCCGTGCTCACGTGAACTTTGCGCATCCAGGGGTAGACGACGGGCTCTTTGCACGCGGAGTGGGACGGGCTGGGGTGCAGGGGGTTCTGGGCGCAGGGAGGCGGCGGGGGGCTGCTGCTGACCGCCTCGCAGCGCTGGCCGGGCTCCGGGAGGAGGGCCCCGGAGGGCGGCGGCGCAGGAG